TCTATATATGAATCCCTTTTTTCGAAGAATGATTTCGAAAGAATTATGAAATAAATACTCTATGAGCTATTCGAATTATTTTCATAATAAATAATTTCTTTGTTAATTTTGAAATAGATAATTTTATTAGATTTCTATAAAAAAATATATATTCAATAATTTCAGAATATATAGCAATAGAATTCAATTATATCATCTTCTATGAGATTATTATTATCTAAAATAGAATATGATAATCGAATTATTCTATATATAGATATTCGATTGATAATTATCTATTCGAGATTCATATCAAAATAATTAATGATTTTGATCAAAATAATTATTTCTGATATAGATATATATGCGATCTTGAAAGATTTATACGAGATCTATATCAGAAATATGAAATTTATCTGAATCAAATATTATCTTCTAAGATTCTCGGCCCATCCGAGACGAATATCAATAATAATCTCATATATCAAATCCAATCATTCCCTCTCTAGATATTCGATATTTCAAATATCCCCTCGAGACGAATTTCAATGGCAACAGAATAAATCAAAATCAATTATTTCTTATCTAGAAGATTCGATTCTAGAATATATCAATAATATAATTTCTCATTTATGATTTTTTTCTTTATCTAGATTCTAGAAGTCCTTATTAAAGACTCATTCAAAGAATTCATCTAATTACCCATTCAGATATTCGATTTTTCAATTATCCAATAATTATAAAAAGAGCGAATATTTATCTGAATTGTTCTAAATTCAATATTTTTAATCGAAAATGATCAATCCTAAAGCATCATATTAAAAAAAATTAGAGTAGATAAATGAAAGAGTCTCAGAACGACCATATTTGAATGTATAATGAGAATAATAAAATAAAAGAATATAACTAATTAATAAAAGAAAGAGAAATATAAAATATCAGAAAATCATATAATTTATAATATATAATATAGAAATTTAAAGAAATAGAATTTTATCGAAATATCAAAAAATAAAATTATATCTATGAAATTATATAAAAATATAGATTCATATCGATATATCAAAGAATACCTAATTTAAAATATTATTTCTCATATAAATATTTTCTCATTTTCTATATATTTTTTTATTAGTATATCATAATATGTTTTAATTATTTTTTTTTAGAAATTTCAAGAAATGATATTTTATAATATTAATATTAAATATTTTCTTGATTTTCTAAAAGAAAAATATTTTGTGATATTTCAGGATTTTGAATATTCGTAATAGAAGAATTAGAAATATTTCTATTTTTATTTTTCATCATATATTTCGAAAAAAATATGATATCTATATCATATCTATATTATTTAAGATCCAGATTTTGGAGAGTTTTCCCGTGGCCAACCTTGAATTCGAGCATTTTTTCGATATACCTGGATCCAGGCTCTTCCGGGATATAGCAAAAACTCGATAAGCTGGGGTCGAACCCATTGCCCAAAGCTGCGTCCACTCTGGAAGATTCTGAGATGAGCATCTCCCAGATCGGATTAACCTACATCGCCGGTACTAACCTACGAAGTCCAGAGGAGATACATCAGCCGTGGGACGGTCGCGAAACAACGGGCAGGTCCAGTTCTGGCTCAAGCCCTTCCTCGCCCGACAACTTGTCGACGGGCGCAAAACCATGGTCTACAGCTGCTGAGAGTCGGAGCACCAAGCTCACGGTTAAAGGATTATCCGTGGCTACGAAATATCAGAATCGAAGATTATCACCAAACCTATTGCTCCAGAATTCGTGCCCGCACCCTTGCCACACAAAGAAGCACTCATGAAGTAATTGCATCAGCAAGTGCCTCAGGCTTGGGTTTATATATGAGTTTCTAGGTTCATAGTCATCCTCCAGCAACTGCACCTAGCAACCTTCTGCCAATCATGCCAAACTTGGCACTGAGCTAGCCTGCCAGTTCGGAACTTGTAAGCCCCTACCCCCAAAGCCCCTAAACCTTAAACCGGAACCCACACAAACCGTAAACACTAAGCACTAAACCGGTGTTGTTTCCTGGCTTCGGGCATCCTCGGACCAGCGTCGCCACGTGGTAGTGCAGAAGGGCAGGGCGAACGAATCAAGAGATGTAGAATAGGTTAGGGCATATGGTGTAGAGTTTAGGCTTTGAGGATTGAGGAACAACGAGATCCACCCACCCACCCACACACACAGGAACCCACTCACACGCCCACGCACTCCTCTCCTACTCGGGTCACACCCGTAAAAAGAACGCTCGTGCCCCACACCCCTTTTCAACCCTCAACTCCACGTCCGCGTAGTCTACCCGAAGGGTCCATGTACCTAAATTGTAGATACATTGGCCCTAAAGTACCTACATAGGGACTACATTAAGGCCAAAGTATGCATTATTCGGGTACATGGACCCTTAGGGCTAAGTACTGAAGTCTAAGTGAGAATCCCAGCGGCCGACGCAAAGCTATCAAGAACTGTTGACATTGCCAACTTCCTGGGCGGCTCGGGGTTTAAGGCTTAGGGCTTAGGGTATCAGGGGCGTGTCTTGTGGATGTAAACCTCGAAGCCACTGGCACAATTTATTTTTGTGCTTCGAACTAAATTCAGCAAAAATCGCGTCCAAGGGTTTTAGCGTTCCTGATTCCGGAAACTCTTGAACACGTGAACGAAGGTTGCCTTAGGGCGATTATACGAAGTTTCCCCATAACCTGTGAGCCTCTTCGGCGCAGGATTGTTGTCAACTTCAGGTTCAGATTTTAAGGCATGGCGTCAGGGTTTAGGGTTTAGGGTTTAGGGTTCAGGGTTTATAGAAATTGCTAAGGGTTTGGGTGCATGTGCTTCCACACGGCTTTTACTTAGCACAGGTCTTGCTTATCTGGATATCTAAACATTTCTGGCGACATTTGTTTTCATTCATCGTCATGTGGTTCATATGTTTGCGAAGATGTGTATCTGGAAGTATATGCACATACAATATACATACATACATACATACATACATACATACATACATACATACATACATACGTACATACATACGTACATACATACGCATGGCATAGGTGCAGACCCGGATACCTGCTGTTTGCTTGGATGGTCTGATATA